CGAGGCTCGCTTAGCTTGAGTGGAGGCGCCAGAACAGTAATACCCTCGCCTCGCATTCTCATGGCCTCGCCATATCTTGGAGATTTCGAAATTTCGGCCCGAACGGAAGCCACAAAGGGTACACGTGTGCACTCAAAAGGAAGATTAATCATTGAATGTCGAGTATTTGAATAGCGTTTTGTATAAACTAATTCATGCTTGATCGGCCAAGTGCGTGCGTGCGCGCGCGCGCGCGCACACACACACACACACACACACACACACACACACACACACACACACACACATTTATTTATTTATTTTTTCCGGAATTTTCAGAAAAGTCCACTTTCATCTCTGACTATTTTAAATTGGAGTTTTGTTCATTTTTTATGATTAAACCAGTTGTAGATTGAGCCAGTAATCAGTGGAAGTTTCTCTGTGCTTGCTCTCATTTGTCCAGCCTCCACCGACTCGGTGTGGTGTTGCTGGTCCCTCACTACTTGGTGGAGCTTCTGTTTCATGCCTCACGCCTCTTCTACTTCAGTGATGAGAACAAGCAGAAGGGGTATCATTCATACAACTAATAAGGTGGTGACATACCTCAGTTACATTGTATCATGTAATGCCATTTTGTTTTTTTTTGTCTTGCTACAGTTTCACTCTATGGGCTTTGCTTTTTGTCATCGCTCGTCTCCTCACTCTCACTCTGTCAGTCCTGACGTTTGGCTTTGGTTTGCCCCGGACAGAAAACCAAGGCTTTTCGCTTGTGGAAGGCAACTTTAATGTGCTCACCATAAGGCAAGTCCTGTCGTGCCATGAATGTGACTGTATTGTATTTTGTACATCTGACAAATCTGCACGGATTATTTATGTGCAAAACACATTTTTTTGAGAAATATTAACATTTTGTCATTTTGTAACACTACTGTGGAGATTCTTCATGTGCATTTGAGTACAATTCTCTGCTCAACTAAAATTATTTTTTCAGGACTTACTAGTTTCTCGTATTTGTCAGATCTATGTTCTGCTGAGCAAAAAAAAGACGCTTTCTCGTTGAGGCCACTTTTATCCTGTCTAGAAGAAATCAAGAAGACTTGGATGGCACAGAATTTCTTGTATTTCAATGGAAAGAAAGCAGAAGTGATGGTGTCTGGTCCCAGTGGCCCTGTAGAATTGAGCCCCCTGGCTCCTTATCTTAAGCCAACTGTCTCGAACTTGGGTCTTAAACCGGACAGTGATTTTAAATTTGACCAGATGGAGCCTTTTCTGATGCTGATCCCTCTCTTTGGAATGACCACCTGCTGAATGTGAAGCAAGCCCCCTCGCTGCCCATCTTTAAGATTTCAAACTACCAGTAATTTTCTGGCTTTTGACTCAGCATGAGACTTGATTTTTAGTTTTACTGTTTTTGTGCTTTCTCCTGTCTTTGTTTTTAATTTATTAATTTATTTGTTTGCACTTTGTATACACCGGTGCTTGTTTTAAAGTGCTCTATAAATACAGTTGAGTTGCATTGAGTATTAAAGATCTATAATCAGGTGTGAACATTAAGTGGTTTGCATATAGGCAGAAAATTCTAACTGTGACCCAAAGTTAAACACGTCGTTGTGTATTTTGCGGTGATTTTGTTTCTACAGAACAGAGCAGCTGCAGCTTGATTAGTTTTGCCTAACAACATGTGTAACTGAGCAAAAACAAAAAAGTGAACGTGTTGAGGCATTTCTATATGAATTTGAGATCATTCGTGAGCGAGGAGAAGCCACCAACGAGGCGGTGGCGTTTGTGGCCATCTTGATGTGCATCAGCTACGAAGGCATTTTTTTTTTTCAAGAATCGAGTTATTAACAATAAATTTCAATGAGGGTCAGTGATCATTTTTTTTACTAATTTACTCTTGTGCCCAACCCTTGTCAACATCGACTGCTACAGTAAACTACATAGAATGGTGTAGGAATGCATGCTGAGAAAGTCCAGTGGTCTATGTGGTCATCGAAACCATGTATTTCAAGTTTGCTGTTTTACTCCGTTTTAATATGAAAATATACATAAATCACTGTACACCCAAGTTATATGTTTTAGGTTCACGTGTGTCTGTATTGCCCCTTTAGGAGTGCATGCTTGGCAGCCATCTGCCTGACTCAGGCTTGGATGATGTGGAAGTTCATCAATTTCCAGTTGAAGAAGTGGAGGGAACACAGCCAGAACCAGGCATCAAAGAAGAAGACAGCCAGCCCAAAGAGCAAACCTCACAAAAGAGAGCTGACAAGGGGTGAGTGGTTCTGAGCCTCTGCATCAAGTCGACCAAACTGACACTGTGAACATACTTGTCGTGGAAGAGGTCACGTCTAAGTTCATAGGAGACTTTTGTTCTTCTAGAATAATACTCACTACTCTCGAAAAAGTATTCTAGAAAAACAGGAAGGGCTATCATTTTATGTAAGGTAACAATATTTAACTAATCTTCCAACATTCATGCGTTGTCATTGTGGTAGGAATGCAATGGTTTTTATGCACATCCAGTACAGGCATTCGATGTGGAAGAAAATATAGGCTTGCACTACATAACAGCGAGTGAAAAGACTTTATAAAGCCACTATCCCACTGAGCGGCGAACAATTGCGAGTCGCGTTCTCGTCAGGATTCGTCAGGGTTCAGTCAAGGTTGCAAATGTTCGCCAAATGTTCGCCTGTACTTTTTTTTTTTTTTAATCAACAAGAAAAATACCACTAAAGCTGTTGCTGAACATTAGGCGAACGTATTACTAACCTTTGCAACCTTGAATGAACCCTGATTAACTCTGATGTTAGCTCGCATTTTTCTACCTTTGCCAACAGTCGCAGTTGTTTGTTCCTCAGTGGGATAAGGGCTTAAAGGTCAAGTAAACTTGGCCACCCATTTTTGAGTAATACTTAGGGCTAAAACTGTATCAAGCATACCTTCGTTTGAACCCATCCAGGTTCATCATTAGACCCATAGCAACGTGCTTAACAGCGAAAATGCTTTTGTCCGACAATCTCCGGTGAGTGACGTCATTTACAGAATGCCAAGTCGCCAGTCAGCCATTGTATTGCATTGTTGATTGTCCCGTTAACTGATCTTTGCCATTGTTATCGAGTTATTCGGCGAAATGCCTCGGCGCCTTGTGGCGATGCACTGTTCACATTCAGGCAAACAGTTGTTTTAGTGGGCAAAAGAAAAGAATAGGGCATGTAAATGGACCGGTAAATTGGAACGATATAGCTTTGTTCTCACAAAGCGAATGAATTTCACGCCATTGTCGACGATTCTTTGTTACAAGTACTGAGAAGACCTCTTTTTTCTCAACCGGATTTGCAAAAAAGGTAGGTGTGGTAATCAATGAATAACTCTGGTTGTTGTTTAGGAAAACATTTGATTCAAAATATTATACATGTACATGGATGGAGAAATGTACGAAAACATTCAAACTATATGAGTGCGTGAATGGAATCCTCGTGGTTAGCAACGAACAATGCTGCCGATATAATGTACGGAGTGGCCGACAGTGCAACAGAACTATGTTGTAAGACACCAACCCACTATGACGTGTGCTCTCAGTGCTTGCGGGAGTACATGGATCGAGTAGGTCATCCCATCGTACGCAATTTACGGCACGGCACAGCATCAAATTGCAAACAGTAGCGCTGGGCTAATAACTGCAGCCTACATAGTTTACCGTTCTTCCAATCCTAATGGGTTTCGTCTCCACTCCATGTCCGGCTGTTCGGGCTCAACACACAATGAATGTGGTATTTCGTATAAAGAGATAATGTAAGTAACAACGATTTGATACCAATATTTCAAAGTGGAACATTTTGGTTCAATTCGATGCACTCACATCTTTTAAATCAAAAACGTTTTTCCGATTCATGTTGTTTTTTTTTTTTTTGTCACACCCCAACTCGCTACCTTGAACTATAATGTTTCAGAGGATGAACAATTATTATTAATTGTTGATTCAAAGACCTTTTGGTCCACTGTGTGTGTGTGTGTGTGTGTGTGTGTGTGTGTGTGTGTGTGTGTGTGTGTGTGTGTGTGTGTGTGTGTGTGTGTGTGTGTCCCCTTAGGGAAAATCCGATGCAATTATAACAAAATAATAATATATTTGGGCCAGGACTTAAATGCTTTAATTAATTAATTGCCGAAAGAAGTCACACTTTTCCATGACTGCACTCCATCAGAACTTTGGTCAGTAGCCTAAACCCTGACAATAGCGATCAAGCTGACGCACAAGCTATATTGATTGATGCCTGTGCAACAGAACAGGCTAACTACATGTTAAAAGATACGTACAGACCAGACATACAGTATATTGAGAGAGAGAGCGAGAGAGAGACTCTATCCCAGTTTATTAATGGTATCTGTCAAATGCATTCTTGACTGTAATATAGGAAACATTGCACTAAAACTTGGTGTTTTTGTTTACTTGTTTCAACAGCAGGAGCTGCTAATGGAATTGTGAAGGCTGACGATAAAGCATCACCACGGGCGAGAAGAGTTAAAAACTCATAAAGATGGCGCAGTTGAGAAAAAGCTGACGCGGTGACATACTGTGTGTTCTTTACACCACTTAACAATGTGTCTAATTCCATCTAGACAAAGTCCCACTAAGAAACCTCATGTAGCTGTCTCTTTCGAATTCAGATTCACTTTGTGAGATACTTCGAGTTGTCACCTTGGTTTTCTGCCGGTTGGAGTTTGGCAGGACCGGGTCGCGTCTGAGGCTTTAAACCGAACAGATTTCACTCTTCAAAAAAAGTGTCCTTTTGTGTACAACCTTGATCTTGTGTTGAGTTATGACATAGAATGAGTCCGCATTTCAGTTCTTTAAATTGAAACTTAATGTGAAGTGTTAATTGACATATAAACTGCACAGGGTTGATTGGTTGCTTGCTTATTTGTTTGGTTTTGTTTCGGCCTTGATAGTGAAACTGACCAAACAGGCTGCTGGGTCATATCCTAAAAGCCTTTATTGCACAGCACTAAAGCATCCCTAAAACTCACTCTGTGTATAGTTAGTATTGTTATTTGGGTACTGCGTCAAAGTTGGGACCGAATGATCATTTATTGCCATTACAGATGGTCGGAGCCTTTGAAATCCAACACTGGATTGAGGCACTTTTTCTTGTTGCATTTACAAAACCCTGATTCCAATGAAGTTGGGACATTGTGTAAAATGTCAATCAAAACAGAATACAATGATTTGCAAATCTTTTCCAAACTATTGCACATTCAATTGAATACACGACAAAGACAAGATATTTAATGTTCTGATAAACTATGGATTATTTTGCAGATGCTTTTTTTAATTTAATGGATTCAATTTGAAAAACCTTCCAAAAAAGCTGCGACAATGACAACAAAACACTGGGAAAGTAGAGCTGTGAGAAAAGAAAAAAAAACACCAGTTTGGAAAATTCCACAGGTGAACAAGTTAGCTGGAAACAGCTGAGTGTCATGTGTGGGTATAAAAGGAGCATCCCAGAAAGGCTCAGTTGTTCACTCGCAAGGATGGGGAGAGGTTATCCACTTTGTGAACAATTGCATAAGCAAATAGTTCAACACTTTTAGAACGTTTGTCAACATACAATGGCAAGGAATTTAGGGACTTCAAAATGCATAGTCCATAAAAATCAACAAAAGATTCAGAGAATCCGGAGAAATGTCTCCAAGTAATCTCACTGAGGGAGGAACGTTTGCGAGTGTTCGCCAAGGGAGCAAATGTTCATTGAAGGTCGCAAATGTTTGCCAAATGTTCTCCAGACGTTCGTTCGCCAACAGTTTTAATGTGTTTTCTTGTCGCAAGGAAATGTTCAACATACAAGGCCAAAAACCAACATTGAATGCTTGTGACCTTCGATTCCTCAGGCAGCACCGCATTAACAACTGGCATATTTTTGAAAAGGATCTTGCCACGTGGCCTCAGGAGCACTTAAGAAAATCATTGGCAGTTAACTCAGTTTGTGGCTACATCTGTAAATGCAAGTTGAAAATCTAACATGCAAAGCAAAAGTCATCGATCAACAACACCCAATGATGGCACCGGCTTCTCTCGGCCCGACCTCATCTGAGATGGAAAGTAGAAAAGTGTGTTGTGGTCTGCCGAGTCCACATTTCAAATTTTAGTCGGAAATCATGGATCATGTACTCCAGGCCAGAGGGAAAAAAGACCATGCGGATTGATTTAGCTTTTGCGTCAAAGTGTGCGAGGACTAAAGTGGGCTTCATGCAGTCTACACTAAAGGGTGACATTTTTGGGGGAATCCTGCTGGATTCTGACAGGATGCGAGTCAACTTTATGTTTAATCACGGGATTGGGACATGACAGGAGAAAAAGTTCGGAGAAGCAGGAGTATCCAGGAGGAGAGAAAAAAAAACTTTAGATGGATGTGCAACCATTTTTAATGTAGATGACCTCCTCCTGGGCGCACAAAGGAAGTGAGAGTCTTTCTGAACAGGAGCAGTGGGGTGGGACGGAAGTGAAAATCCACTCCCATGTAACGCTCTAGTCCAGACTCCCATTGAAAATGTGTGCTGCATTATGAAGCGCAAAATATGATAACAACCACTCCGGACATCGAGCAACTGAAGTTGTTAATCTAGCAAGAATGGGAAAGAATTCCACCCACAAATAAAACAATCACTGTCCCAAACGCTAACACTAACAACGAGTGTTGTTAAAAGGACAGGTAACACAGTGGTAAACATGCACTTGTCCCCGTTTTTTCGAACGTGTTGCAAACTTCAAATTCAAAATGAGTGAATAATTGTAGGCGGCATGATGGTCGACTGGTTAGCACGGCCGCCTCACAGTGCAGAAGTTATGGGTTCGATTCCGGTTCCGGTTTGCATGCTCTCTCTCTGTGCCTGCGTGGGTTTTCTCTGGGTACTCCGGTTTCCTCCCACATTCCAAAAACATGCATGGCAGGTTAACTGAAGACTCTAAATTGTCCCTAGGAGTGAGTGCGATGAATAATTGTTTAAAAAAATTATCAGTTTGAACATTAAACATCATGTCTTTATTGTGTATTCAGTTGAATATAGTTTTAAAAGTATTTGCAAATCATTATATTCTGTATTTATTGAAGTTTTACACAACATACCAACTTCAGCGGACCCAGGGTTTGTTTCTCACGAGCCCGCCTGGTTCTCAGCTTCACCTTGCGGTCCACGTCTGGAAGCTGTACTGTCACCATTGAGTATGCATACAGTTAAATCCAAATAATGAGCATGAGCAGACATTTGAGCAAGAAGGTGGCAACTCTGTGTTTTTGTATGGTAACAATGCATGGTGGTTTGAACACACATTGGCTAACTCCAACCTGTGCTGTTGAGTTTGCTACTCTCTCTCCCCCTCTATCTATTTCACACACACACACACACACACACACACACACACACACACACACACACACACACACAGAAGCATTCAGTGGCCTTTTTACAACTGCTGCTAGAGGGTTATTTATTTTATCACAGATTATTGATGGTTATTATAACCAACAAACACAGCAGTACATAACAACTCTGCTCAGTTAATCCAAACAATACAATCCTTCTTCAAGTGTCCTTATAGGTGGGTCGTATCACTTGGTCTGCTTGTGTTTGATCTGTTTGCCTTCTCAATTCTTTTTCTTTCACATTCGGCATCGAGCCATAAATAGTTCCTTACATAAGAAAAGAGAAGTGTGTCTCAGTGGTCTGCCTATTGTACATGCGTGTGAATGAACTGAATTATGATGACGACAAATGTGTTCCTCTGTTACGTGTCTGCTGAAGGAAAAAATTGACAGCCTGTGGGCAGCGCATGAATTGTAAGAATCTGTCAATTAAATCATGCCTCCTCTTGTCCCATGCCAAGTGTAAAACATGCCTGTTACACATTTCTGTGTTTAAAAGGCTAAATTGCAAAAGTTCTAGTTGCTAAATATTTCTGTGTTTGCACAAACCTCGGCCGACATTCCCTTTTTTTGAGTGCCCGTGATTGTGTTTCGGTGTTTCACTAGGAATCACGTAGATTGAGCAATTGGGCCTTATCTCTTGTGGACTAGTGGACCAGTGAAGAGAAGGCATTCACAATTTATTTGGAGTCTCAGTGTAGAAACAAAACAGGCAAGAAATAAAAATGCCAATCCTGTTTGATACTTTTAATTCAATTTATTGGGCATTGGGCACCCCACTAGTGTTTGGCCGTGGCACACAATGGAGGGCAAAGCAGAGGACTATCAAAGAGAGAAAAGGAACCCTACACTGTAACAACTAGTACAGTATCAGATTTTAAAGCTATTTTTATATTGGGGGCCTCTCTTAGACTCTATTGTTATTCTAAACTATGTGTTGCATTCAAATTGTTTTTAATCCAAGAATGAAGCTTGCTGAACTGTTAGTGTGGCCATATATCAGTGTGTGAGTATATATTTAGTTTCAATGACTTTATTTGATTTGTATTTTGACCCGATTCTGCGTCTATAATATCATGAATTACATAACCAAACATTTAGAACGGAGGTGGGCTTTTTATTTTTTTATTTTTTTTTTATTTTTTGGCTCAAGTGCCACATTTGAGTTTTAAATTGAACAGATAGGGCAGGTGAGCTAAAAATAAATAAATAAATAAAATTACCTTTTTTTCAATGTGTATTATAAAAAAAGTATCTTTTTTTTAATCTTATTAGTTGTGTGTTGTATAATTTATCAGTAATTTAATTATAATCGGTCAAACAATAACAGGTCAACAGCAAATTTTACTCAGAGATGACTTTTTGTGTTCCTAAACATATTTTTGAGGCTGATTTCAAAAACGTCTTTACTTGTTTTCTAGCACATCAGTTGTTTGAGATACATTCATTTTTGTTTTTAGGTTTGACCGATAAAAACGTGCGCAAGCTGTATGTGGCCCCTGGGCCATAATTTGACCGCCGCTGATTTAGAGGTGTGCTCTTCTGCAATCTGCAATTTGGCTTTTCATTATGAAGTCCACTGCAGTCCATGTACAGTACAGTATAGGTGCTCGAAATGCTTTTATTTGCATAAAAAAACCATCACATAAAAGACACATTGACTATTTGTCAAAATTATACATTGAAGATGTTTGAATAAAAGTGATCTGTCTTTTTGCCTGTGAACTGCAACAGAAAGTTGCAAATGCCTTTGTTTCCAAAAAGGCCCATTTTAATTGTATTCCCATGATTTCATTTCTGTATGGATTTATTTTTATGTTGTTGCCTGTTATGCGATGATTGTGTATTTTCTGTCTTGAATATGTTGTGTCTGAAATGGCCTGATGTTATATATAAATACCATATATATTTATGCAATCGCTTGTTTGTTTCAATCACCTTCTTTAATGTGGTTATGTAAAGATTTTTGTTGATGATGCAAGCCCCTTTAACCGTACTTGAATCAGCTGACCTAACACGAGCACCTTTCCATTCACACCCTCTAACTCCCTCTATAACTGAGAAGTCATTGTTTATCATACCATCCACAGCCAGGGTTTGATGAAATAAAATGTACATATATCCAGACACTTGTGCAACACACTCATAATACAAGCAGGAACTAGTCGAAGTAAAAATCAAAATGTATCCATCCATTTTCTGATCCACTTATCCTCACAAGGGTCACGGGGCATGCTGGAGCCTATCCCAGCTGTCTTTGGGCAGTAGGCGGGGTACACCGTGAACTAGTTGCCAGCACAATGCAGAGGTGCAGGGTTCGATTCCGGCTCTGGCCTTCCTGTGTGGAGTTTGCACGTTCTCCCCGTGCTTGCATGGGTTTTCTCCGGGTACTCCGGTTTCTCCCACATTCCAAAAACATGCATGGCAGGTTAATGAAATACTCTAAATTGTCGCTGGGTGTGACTGTGAGTGTGAATGGCTGTTCATCTACATGTGCCCTGCATTTGGCTGGCAACCAGTTCAGGGTATCCACTGCTCGATGATGGGATAGGCTCCAGTACTTCCGCGACCCTCGTGAAGATAGACGGATTAGACGGTGGATGGACCCAAGCAATGGAATTTATTAGTTTAATCCTACTTCTTGACAATAGAGGGCATCGCTGCGCTTTTTGTCCCGCCACCCCTCCCAGCGAAAAGAAACAGTCTGCATTTCTTGGCTGCATGCAAAGCTGTATTTAATAAATTATTTGTCGCAATTAGAAAGAGTGAACATTGTCTTACCAATCAGTATAACTTAGTTCAGTTGATGTGATCCTCAACTGTCAATCAATCAAATCAGTTGAGATTTAGCGTCATAAATCTAAATCTGGGTGTGTTTTCCCGACGTTGCCTTGCGTCCATCGACCTTGTGCAACTTGATTGCTGTGACACAATAAGAGGAGGCTTGCATTCATCAATCGTGATGAATGACTTCTGCAGGAAAAAAAAACACACATGCAGCTTCGTGCGCACATGTTGAGCTCCTCCGGAGTAATGGCTTTTTTCAGGCCAAGCAGACAGCGTGATGGATCAATTAAGACGCAGCCAGGAAGGCTCCACCTCTGCAGGGTCGCCACAAGGACGGAGTTCACGCACACGTTCTCCACCAAACACACACAAACTTATCAACAGCCCAAACTACATGATCTGGAGTGCCCAATATAAAAGAGAAAAGAGCATACCCTCGCAATTAATTCCTCCCTTCCAAGCAAGGAGGATAAATCTTTCTGTGAATTGTCAGTATTATGTGTAATTTCCATATAAATTAACTTCATTAAAAGTGGAGTACTTTCTGATTTAACAAAGCTCATTTTAAATTCTGTATTTAATAGGACATGTAATCCCAGACTTGCAGACAAATAGCTACCAGTTAGTTGGGATGGGTCTGTGGGGCTGTGTGTGTGTGTGTGTGTGTGTGTGTGTGTGTGTGTGTGTGTGTGTGTGTGTGTGTGTGTGTGTGTGCGCGCGCGCGCGCGTGTAATCTCTTGTAAGAGATTGTAGTCCTCCAGCATTGTTTTCACTGATTGTCTGAGATGAGCAAATGGGCAGCAGCTGGTCTTCCAGACAGTTTTTTTTTTCCCCATGAAGTGCTCTGTGAAGCATAGAGGGGATCTGACCTAAGACGTTCATGAGCTTGCGGCTATTTGTGGGCCAGCAGACCAGTGGGGACTGTTTGAGGTGGTCAGGAGAGCAGGTGTACAATGATGAAGGACAGTAGAGAGGGGGTGGAAACATCTGGAGGCGTGAGAAATCTGGGAATAGAAAGGAGACGGGAGTTAAGGGGACATGACTCAATGAAGCGAGGGGAGGCAAAACAGGCAAACAAGCCGAGCAGACTGATATGGTCTGGTTTACAATCGAAAGAAATAAAAGTGGAAAAATGCAGAATTCCTAATTAGTATTTGTCCAAAGAGACAGATGCCCTGAAAGATGGTTGTACTACAAAAGAGGAGTATGAATGTGTATGTTTGCATGCCTGTTTGGCTGCAACAATAGAAATTATATCACAACTATTTACATTGAATGACCTTATGGTGTTGAATAAATGATAAGGAGAATAAATTTTGCATGTTTCTTCAATTTCTGAAAGCATTTAGTGAACAAATGAAAAGTGCCTTCTCAGTTCAGTTCATGAATTTGTTGCCATTACGGATGATTGTTGAAATGGTCGATTTAGCCAATTCATAGTTTCA